ATGTATCTTATATGCCATTGCATCAAATATTTAAGCAGAGTCTTGTTGCTTAATCCTTATTGTCAATTATTTACCTAAGACAGAAAATAAATTAGTACTCTCAAGATTTAGTTTATAATGGGAACACAAATTTTAATAATCTGCTTTTCCCAAGAGAGACTACTTACAACCCTTGCTTGGAATTTCAAGAGCTTTGATATTTTGATAATTTGGAATAATGAAAACATGACAGCAAGCTCATTATGTGACAGTTAAAGGAGAAAGTTCTTCCACCTGACTGGAGACTTGTACCCACACTGTGCTCCAAGGGGAATGGTCTGAGTACACTTCACTGGACTGCAGCCAGATGGGTGTAGCAAGCTACCAGCCATTCTGTAGAACTTTCTAAATACATACAATAAAAGCTCTCCTACGGCAATTTTAAAGCAAACACACCTTTTACAGATGTCATTTTCCCTTTGGCTCCATGAAGAAGCAGCTTCAGGATGAGACAAGCTGTGACACTGAAGCATGGTAGCCATTCAGTACTGACTCCACGAATTAATGTTTTCATTCTACACCAAGACCTTTGTGGTTTAGCTTTTCCACTTCTAAAGAGAACACTAATGATTCCTTTACAGCAGAACAGACTCATAATTAGCAGGAAACAGATTATTTGCAAAAGCTATGCCAGCTATTTTCACAATACATTTGATGTCATGATTTCAAAATTCTGCAGTGAGAAAAGACTCCTACTCTACCGTTAGAGTTTTTTTCCATAGGAGCTATGTAGGAAAAAAATACCTGAATGAATGCCAGAAATGGAGCATGTAATCCCAGGGATGATTGTTACTACAGTTTCTTTATTAAGAATTACCCACTCCCAGTGAGCCTGTAGCTATTCTTGAGTTAAATATTACCCAAGTGAGTAAGCAATGTACTGCATGTCCTCTGAGGCAGCTGTAGGACCGTTCCTACTTCCAGTGAAAACAATGTAAATCCCACATTTCTGCAAAGAATGAATCCAAATTCTTTCACTCTCTTATGGATGCGTGCCCACACCACATGCTGTATGCACATGCAAGATGTTTCTCCAGTGACCACTTGACAGTAACCCAGGGTTTACAAACAGAAAATTCCTACCCCCCTAGAAAGAGAATAACATTTAGTCTTTGTCACAGTAAATAAAGCCCCTACTTCTCCTGCTAATCAGACACGCTTCCTTCCTGTAACAGGAATTGTATCACTGCACTGATGGGAAGAAAAGGGATTTTTTTTAATTGTTGTGTTATCTATCACTTTCACTGAGACAGAAATTCGAGACTGATTCACAGATGGAAACCCCAAATGCCATGCAGCAAAGCATTCATCTAGGGACAGGAAACAGTACGGGGTTGATAGCCTACAGTAAAGGTTATGCCACCTTTAAGTACTTTTTAAAAAAGACTGCACAGACACCTTCCCTAATACTTGGGTGACAAAGCAAGACACACATCAAAGCCTTTAATCACATACAGGGTATATCAGTGAAGTGTAATTTCTATATGGCCTTACAGATTAGCATTGATACTCTAACACTGATTCCATTAAGTGATGTTGTCACCAAGCCATGTAGGAACAGAAGGAAACAGGAAGGATAAAAAAAATAAAAGGGGCATTTGAAGTAATGAGAATACAAAGGCTAGTGCAAGCACCAAATGCAGATGAGATCAAGAGGCATTGCAGAAGGAGCACTAAATTACAGGAACTGTACCAGGGCAAAGAACAGAAAATCTGTAGAATAGGCTGATTTAAATTTGTTTTTTTTTAAATATGTACTTTCAGCGAGATTGGATGAGTACATGAAGGCACTTATAAAAGTTCACAGGCATGTGAACCTGTGAATATAAAATACCAGTGGGAAGGAGCAAGACTTTCTAATAAGCTCTCTTGAGGTATAACAATTGATCTCTGTTACACGAGCTGTTCTGGGAAGCTTGACTTTGCCTTTCTGTTGATTTTTTTAGCTTTGGAGGCTAAAATTAACTTTTTAAAAATATAATAATAATTTTCAATCTGACCCAACCAAACCCAGCAGAAATTAATAGATAAATAGCTGAATTGGACCCAGTCTGTTCCTAGAATAGATACTTTTATCTGTAAGCTTCCAGTAAGCACTTTGCCTCTTCATTAGACTCATAGAAAATGCAAAAAAAGAGATCCACACTAACTGAATTTTGACAAACTGTAACCTTCACTGTGAACCTTAGAGGCAAAATACAGCTTTGATAGCAACCTTCATCTACGTGACACATCCACAAATAGGACTGCAATTCACAGTGTGCCTCCCATGAACCATGATCTGAATATAGAAAAGATCTTCCCTATTTACCTGCATCTGAAAATCATGTGGATGTAATACAGACCACATTTTTGTGGGGAATGAGTCAAACTAACTGGAAGCTTTTTGAAGCTACAATACATCAAGTGGGATTTTAGCCATATATAGATGTGAAACCTTTTTTTTTTTGATGGTGTAACACTGCTACAAAAGGAGAGGTTTGGATCTGAAAAAGAATTTTTGGTTGCTTCCTTAACAAATGGCCTTTTTCCTTTCTGTTCTCCTTTCTGGTTCCCTATTCATGTAAAAATTATCCCAGGCTCCAGAACATACTTTCTGTTTTGAAGGTTCCTGTAAATCAATATCCTTACAAACAGCTCCTGCAAAAAGCATAATTGCTGCATCTGTAGGGACACACAAGCCTGTGCTTTAACAGTGCATGGTCCTTGTCGACTCATGATTCAGCTATGACAGTAATCCTATAAATACATCACAGTGTTGGACTTAAGTGGCTTGGGATACTAATTTTGCTCACTTCTTTAACTTGAGGCTCCCAGCTGCCTTTGAACATTGGTCACACAGTACACAGATTGGTGAGGTGCCTTAATAATCTATCAAAGAGAAGAATGATGCAAAAGGCCCTTAGGAAATATTCCTGGGAAAAAAAGTGATGCAAGAGATGGAGGAAGAAGCAACCCATGCCCTACTGTTACTAATGGACATGATGCACAGGAAGAGCTGGAGCTATACCCTGAGGCTGTGGGAAAAAACTGGGGACAGTGAGGGCTCCCACAGGGCTCCCAGCCTTTCCAAGGAACAGCAACACGTTCTTGGACTTAGGTTATTGTCTGCATCACACAGCATTGCTGAGAATTCTGCTGCCTTCCCCTGCACATTCTGCACAGATATTATACAATTAATAAAGCAATGAACTCCAGTGCAGAAACCATGGATTAAAACTTTTACTGCAGAACAGGAACAGTGCTTACTGATGGGGCACCTACCACACAGAACTCGTATATGACACCAAGAGATACCCTGGAGTCAGCTTCTAGACAGATGTTTAGAAGAATAAATGTGTAAGGAGGAGGATTTTACACAGGGAACTAGATTTCTTGTAGAAGAGAGCAACTGTGGAACAAAAACCTTTAGAAGGATTCTGCTGAGATCTAGTCTAGACTAGTCAACTGTCTTGGACTAGTTGGTCTTTCCTCCCATTTTTGAGGGTCCACAGGGCTCCATATGTTAGACCAACTTTGTACAGTCCTGACCTCAATTAGATACTTTCCAGCCAGCTGCACACACCTAGTTAAGAGATCTGAAACATTCCCTCTCTCCCTTTATCCTAAATTATGACGGATTTTCCCAGAGTGAATGTTGTTCATTTCCACCATGCTACTCCTTCTCCCCTACAACTCTGCCCAAGTAACACGGTGGCATCCAGGGCCTGAAGGAAGGTGGGTGTCTGGATGAATACACATTAGATAGCTTCTGTTCTTAAGGGTGACACACAGAATAGTTTCAAGGACATTACCCAAAATGTGTATCTTGAATTGTACTGGGACTTTTGTTTTCCTAGGCAGGCACTGCAGCAGATTCTCTTTGTGGGATGACTCTGTTCTTATGGGACCATAAGGAACTTTGAAGACAGCATTTAGGCTGCAGATGCAAATTCTGGAAATTCTCTTGGGAACAACCTAACAAATAATTTAAGGAAGGCAACACTCATCTGGAGTTTCTACCCTAAGACAGTGGTACAAGAGGGCTCTTTAGAAGGCAGAATTGACTACATGGTGTCCCAAGATCTGTCTTGGCAGTGATCAGCAATGCACCATTCCACTAAAGAAACGAAAAAAAAAAAAAAAAGTTTAAAAAAAAATTAAAATTCAGACATTTCAGATCATATTCTCCTGATAAATACTGTGAACCTGGTGAGGGGAGAAATTAATCCCATAAGTTTAACTGAAAAAAAAACCAAATGCCGCAGTGAGAGTGCTGGCAAAGGGGAGAAGATTTTTATTATCCAAAGGTGCTCTTTGACTGGGAAATACTGTGAGAAAAGGACTCTTTGCTGGATCCCAAGCTACAGCATCCTACACATTTCTAGAGAATGACCCTACTAGGAATTTTCAGAGAAAGTAAACACATTTTTCTGTGTATTTCTCAGTAACATTGCGATCATACTTCCTTTTTGTAACTAAAAAGTTAAAGGAAACAATGTTTTTCTTTCAAACAATTATCAAACACCTTCAGTGTGGACATAGAGCATAAATGCTTAGCAAAACTCAATCCACAGCCACAGTCTTCCAGAAGCAATAAGCAAGATGCAGGAAGGATGAAGATATTTGTTCATTTCCAGTGGGTGCATTAAAAGAGTCAATTTTAAAATCTGCTTTTTAAAACAATGTTTAAAACCATCAAACTCTGTTTGCTTTTCTTCCACTCACAGCAGACAATCATCATCAGAAACTGGCTGAGCTGTATTTTAGGATATAAAACACTCCAAGGGCTAATGATTTGGAATAGTAAAGACTAAGAAAACTCTTTTGTTATACACATTTCAGAAGATGAACCAATGAAGAGGCGATAAGTAAATAACAGAACAACTAACAGCAAGATTAGCATGAGAGTTTGGCATTGACTAGCAAATGAAAAGCAGAGATGCTATAAAGACATCGATTAATGAAGAAGGTGGAGAACATTAAAGATGAGACATCGCTTTTATTAACCAAACCTGTTTAGAGAGATAAAACCCAGCAGCCAGATCATGACATACACGGGTGACAAGTGACAAAGGGTTACTGGCAGTGGACGTGTGGGAGAAAGGCATCCCAGTCCGAGGTCGGTACTTTTCCCTGTCTACATTCCATCGCTCTATAGTGGGCTGCACAGCACTTTGACATTTCCAAAGGCAAAACCATGGCTTGAAGAGTCTACCAAGTTAGAAGCTGCTGTTCAAATTGTCTTTTTTTCCATACTGGTGTTTTCCTGAGATTCAAAGACTGTAACATTTCAATGTGGAGAAGAGCTGTGTGGTCGAGTCCAGCCCTCTTTGATGGAAGAACTGTACACTAAGTAGGCAGTTCTTCAAACCTTCTGTTAATGGCACTTTCACACATCACATTTAGAGGTGACTGAGGAGAGCACTCATCTTGGTAGGCAGCTGGCAAGTGCATCAGGCCTTGGTATGGTCATAAAGTTCATGGTGCAGTGCAATAGTGGACAGATCTTCTCGTGATCCTTCAACACTTCACTCAAGTGTTTCATTTCATCTGTTAGCTTTCCAATTTCTCTTTTCAGGGAGGTATTTTCTTGCTCAAGAGACTCATATTCCTGGAAGGAGGGGAAAGAAAGAAAAAAAACCCAACAATTTACAGTCAAAACATTCCTTTCAGTGCTTCCACCTTGAGTACATTCACATAACTATAGGAAAACAGTGTGGTTTCTTACTACAGCTTACAAAGTGCTGAGGAAAGACAGACACAGCCTGGGTGCTGGAGCAGGGCAAGTTCTTTACAACCCATGTCCTGACCACACTGTGACTCCTTTCATGGTCCTGAAGACCAGGAGGTGCTGCTGGCCCTCAGGAGTCCCTCAGGAGCCCAGGGCTGCAGGCATGGATGGCTGTGTCCCCATGGTGGCCTCTTCCACCCTGGGATGCCTCTGCTGGGAAGGGCCAAAATGGACTCTGCACTGTGAGATCAGAGAAAATGAAAGCACTGACTGCAGAGAGGTTGGGAAAACCCAGTGCCTGGCACTGCTGGTGAGAGAAGGGCAGCCCCTGCCCCAGGGCAGTGCAGGGAAAAGCCATTCTTCCAGGCTAGCACAATGTGTCCAGTGCTCTCCTCCAGGCCTGCCAGAGCTTGTAGCCACCTGCTCAGAAGCCCAAAAACTCAGGAGGAGGGAAGCATCATGCCAGCTTGATGGCAGACTCATTCTGTCACCAGAAGGCCAGACCACTGCCTTGGGTTATCCCTGACCTGGCTGCTTTGGAGCTAAGGCTTCTCTGGCAATAAATAAGCTGCTGTTAACTGCAGGGGAGTTTTGAGCTGCTCTGTAGCATACATGTGATGGATGCAAGACTCCTGCATCACATCTTTTGATAACAGTGTGATAACTGCTTCTAAGCCTTCTCATCCCAAAGAGAAGAGAGCTAGAGGTTCAGAGCCAGCCCACTGAAAACCTGCAGATGGATGTCTTGCTGCTGGCCTAAGGCTCAACATCCACCCACTCAATCTCACCTCCTGGGGAAAGCTTCACAGCTAACTTCAAAGCTTACACGTGCCTTAAAAGGCAGCAGGGAGAGCCTCTCATGCAATGTTCTTCTGGGCAGCCTGGCACTGCCTCTGCTCTCTTTGCTGCAGAACTTTGGATTCCTTGCCCTCCCTCACACCCTTCCAGCACCTCTCACAGAGAAAAACAGGCAGAGTCCTCCTAAGACAATATTGGAGCCAAACTCCAGCCAAGTTGTCCGACCCTGATTGTCATTCTGCTCATCTCTTGTTGCCCCTAACCCCACGGTCTTGGGTTTTGGAATAAGTGTTGCTGTCCCATTGCTCTGTCCCATTTTCAGGTGTGAGACTGTCACATTGTTCTTGCTAAGAACGAATGTCTGTTCAACCAGATCTGCCTACACCTGGCAAAACCTGTGTGCCACAGAATGAAGACTCCCAGCATGAGGAAGGAATTCAGGAGGATCATCAGAGAGGCTTCAGGATGGCACAGAGCCCAAAAATGATTCCACAAAAGCCAGGGGTTACCCCTTTTCATTAGTACCCTGCACCTGGCTTTCTCAGGCGCTGACTCAGAGGAGATCTGGGAAAAACCAAGCCCAAAACTCCCCACATCGTCCCTCTTAGTCTCTGTTAACTGCTGGCAGATCCTTCCACAGTGAGAAAAAAAAAAAGTCTGTGATGAACCTTCAGAGCTGAACAACTGACTCAGCCACAATGGCAGTGTGCTGCAAAACTGACACTTACCCCAAAAGCTGACTCCTGGCTATATCAGCACTGTTGTATGAGGTAACATCCAAAACCAGAGAAAAGGAATCCCTGTCCTCCAGTGTTTGCACTGGGGACACAAGAAAACCACACCACATTGTGATATTAAGAGCTTCTGGAAGAATCAGTTACTTTCATTTTATTTGTTTAAACACCCACTGTAACTTTTCAAAGCATACAATTATAGCAGCTAGCCAAGCCAAGCTCTCACACTTGCAGGTTCCCAAGCTCCTAAGAGGCCTTTTCAACTGGGTGTGTCTGCAGACCCCAGTGCTGAGTGGCAGTGCTGACACAACACTTCTAGAACTGATTTAAGCCAGCATTGCCACTGCATGGCCCCCTCCTCTTCCATCACCTTCTACCTTGTAAGACAGCAAGAATTCATCCACTGTCATAGCAAACATGACAAGCTTAACACTAATACAGAAGAAAATGGTTCTGGGTTAGCCCAAAGGAGCCCTGTGATCCTATTCTTTGAGTGGTCACAGGAAGAGCAAAAGAGGGAGGATGAGGCAAGGGCTGGATTGTGTCTCTCTCTTCCTAGCAGTATCACTGAATGCAGATCTGCACTGTCCAAGGGCAGCATCAGTGTCTGGGAGTTCCCGACCAGGCATCCCACAGCACACCTTTCTGTGCCTCACACCCACAGCCCTGTGAGCAGGATTAATATGAAGACAGGCCCACGCCTGCTTAAGAATTCCTGTTAATTGTAAATTCCCGTGCTTGGTACCCAAGCCATGCCTGCAAAGCACCAAGTACCCATTCACCTCGTGAAGTTTATCTGCTTTCTGAGTTTGCTTCTTCCGGCTCCTCTGTGCAGCAACTCGATTTTTTTCTCTCCTCCTTACTTTTCTGTCATCTTCTTCATGACTCTGGAAGACACCAGCCAGAAACACTTAGCTAGTTTGCAAGGTGCACACAGAAGACTTCGCCAACACGAAGTCGGGCGTGTAACTTTCTGAGAACGAACGCTTCCAATGTCACAGCGCTGATCCTGGGTGACCGCATGGTCCCTGCACAGAGCAGCGCATCCCTCTGTCCCGCCGCACAGGCAGACCCGAAGCGGAGGGGCGGAAGCCGGCAGCTGTCCGGGGGATGCGCAGAGCCCCGCGGGCAGGGGCACAGCTGCTGATGGAGGAGGCTGGGTACCCGAGCGGGCTGGGCAGCACTCTACACCTGCCTCGCTCCAGCGCGGCCGACGGGGAGGAGGTGCGAGCCCTGCTCCCTTCCCGGCTGCCTGCGGCTGGGGAAAAGCCGAGCTTCGGCAGCTTTCCGCGCACCGCCTGCACTCCCCGCTGGGAAGAGCCAGCACTCCCGGGAAAAGAAGCGCCGATGCCCAGGGCCAGCGGGCACCCCCGCGGCGCTGCTCGGCGTGACTCAGCCCCATGTGCCCGCCCGCCCGCAGCGCCGACCCCCGCCCGCTCCCGCTGCCATTCCCATTGGGAACTCCCAATGCTCTCCCGTTCCCGCTCCCCTTCCCGCTCCCTACCTGCTGGCTGCCCTCGGCCGCCGCGCCCCGGGGCAGCGCGCTGGCCCCCGCCGGGACGGCGCACGACATGCCGGCGCCGCCGAGCCGCCCGCAGGGCTCCCCCGGCCCGCGGGGGGTGCGAGTGCGAGGCAGCGCCCAGGAGGGAGTACAAGGACAGGGCGGGCCGGGGCGGGCCGGGACAGGGGACGCGCCGCCCCGGGCCGGGGGTGCCGCCGCCAGGTGCCACCGCCCACATGGCCGTCACATGGCGCCCGCCTGCACCGGCGGCCGGGACCACCCGGCCCCGTGCCGCACCGCCCGCCCCCCGGGAGCGCCGCTCTCGTCAGCCGCCGGGAGCCGGGGGAAAGTCCGGGTCACGGCGCTGCCGGGCAGGAGCTGCCTGAAAATCCCCCCGGAGAGCCCCAGCCCCGGGGGCCGGCTGGGTTCGACGCCCCTCCGGGAGGCCCGAGTCGCTGTTTCGCCTGCAGGAATAAACTCCGCGCAGTTTCTCCTCTCTCCAGGAGCCGGCCGTGCTCCCCTGCGTCTCCCCCGCTCACCTCCGGGCGCTCCTGCCCGCCGCGCTCCTGTGACATCGGCTCTCTGAAGCGGCGGCGGCTCCTCATGGGGGGACAGCCAGCTCGCCCGGGGTCATTGGGTGTGTGGACACGGCATCCGTGCTGGGATAAAGCGATTTTCACTTTCGCTACTCACCCTGTTCCTTCAAATAATAAGGAAATGCGACAGACTTCTTGTAAAGGCAAAGCCAGACAAAGACTGCTGGAAATACAGTTGCTGCAGACAAAAATCTTTCTGTTCCACTATTCTGTCGAGAGTATTTTAACAGACTGAATTCTGTTTGTTCACCTCTTGGAACACCTTCCTTGCATTTTAATTGCACAGTTACCTTGGCCTTTTGCTCTGAAAGGGGGTGTTTGCACTGACAGCTACTTCAACACCTACTGCAAAAGGATTTGTAACTCTTGTACAGCCAGGAGGGTCCTGGCTGTGCTCAACTCACAGAGAGCACATGACCAGGCAAGGAGAGTACGTGGCCTCAGATTGCAGGGCAGTCGGTCATAAAACCCCAGGTATCTCAATAAAATCAGATACTTACTTCCTTATTTTTCTGGTTTCCTCAGCGGCTTGAGTCATCCAGCTCAGATGAAGTTTAAGAGTTGGCAAACTGAGTAAATACAGACTATCCTTCCAGGAAGATCTGGCTAACAGTTCATGCTAAAGGTGACGGAACCATGTTCCCCCAGGAGTCCAAGAGTCAAACCGAAGTCTGCTCTGCCACAGGTTTCCTGGTAAATTCTGGGACTGTGACCAAAACACTTGAGCAAAGACTTGGTTTCAGGCACTTCTTCCCAGCTGTTCCGCCTCAAAGCAGCTTGTGTCTCCACCCTCCAGGCTATCCGTGCATTTATTTGATTTTGCACTTTTCAAAGAGCTTCTCCAACCAATGGAGGACCAAGTCCCCGTGAGTCTTTCCACCCTATCAGCCATGGCACTGTGCTGGGTCTCCCAAGCATCTCACAGGGCATTCTCTGGTTTCTTCAAAAGCAGTCTTGCTTCTTTCTCCCTTCGTCATCTCATGTGCCAAGAGCACGATGTTCACCTAGTGCTGCTCATGGAGGGAGCACGTGTGGGCTCAGTGTCATTCTCCAGCTGAGGGGATCCAAACCAGCATCTCCTGGGAAGCAGCCCTGGCCACGAGGCAGTGTTATTAGAGGGTGCATTGCTCTCAACTGCTCCTTTGAAACAGCCTAATCTTGCATTAACTACACCTCACGCAGTTAAAGGAAAGCAGTACACGAGGGTAGAAACTGAGTTGGGACGGTTGCTTACAAAGAGAGCACTGGGTTCTTGCTGCCTTTGTAGCTTAAGCTCCGTTGAAATAAACCAGACTAGAAGCCAGTATTTTCACCAGCTCAGGGAACAGGCATGTTCTCTTGCAATAAATGCTATGAACCATGTGGATAGAACATCTCAACAGCCCTCTGGAGTGATCTGTGGGAAAGAAAGTCGCCTTCCACAGAGGGACTTTGAACTCCATGCTCCAGGAGCAATGCTGCTGCAAATGGCACCTGCACAAGCTACCTGGAAGCACCAAATCATGAGCAGCTCACCAATAATTTATTAGCCCTGAATAAATATCCACTTCACTGAATAATTCCCAGCAGCTGTAGAACAAGGCTTCCAGGATAACACAAACATGGGACAAAACAGGGGACAGTCCCCTTGAGCCTGAATAATCTGTTCTTGTTCAGAATGAATGACAAAGGAAATGACAAGTCAAAATTTGCTTGTGGGAACAAGTTTCTACTTAGTATTAAAGCTATCTCTGGTACATCTGTAGAAATGCCTACACAGTAATTCCAGGTAGTGCAGCAGTAAAGGCAAAGCGTTTCTGTGCAGGAGAGAAAACCAGCCCAGAGAGAGAAAGCAGCCTAGTCAGCTGAGCTTACATTTTATAATGGCAGTTTATCAGTGATTTTTGTCTGCACTGAAGCAGCCTACACACATGCACACTGGTCTCTGATCACATCTTAGCACAGCACGGCTCTTCTGGAGAATGGCACATGTCAGAACTGGGTCTCAGAGCGCTCATGTGAAGATTTCTGGAAAGGGAGCTTCCCCTTTAGTTTGTAATCCCCTTTGTACAGAAAGTACACACAACAGAAGCATGAGTGGATGCTGCTCCAATTTACAAGTTTTTCTTGGCTGGAGAAGCCAAGCCCAGCCTCATGAGCAAAAAGCGCAATGCAGACAGGACACACTAACAAACAGTGAGATGTTCTGTCTCGGCCCTGAAAGCCAGGAAATTTAAACTCAGTTTGCAAATGAACCCAAGCATCCATCACTGTTGAGCTGTCTTACAAAATTCAAAGGCTATATAAAGAAAAACTACCAGACATTTCTTGATGCAATACCAATTCGCCCCTAAGTTAAAAATAAGAAGGTTGGCTGTTGTGACATTTCAGTAGAAGCCTGATTAGACGTCTTGCACAACACTGCCAATTCCTGTGAAAAGTTAACTGAAGGACAAAAGGCTACTGGAATGGGGGGAAATGAAGTGGTTTATAAATTTCTGCCAATGGGAAGAACAGCTAGTTGCAGGTATTACTGGCTGTATTTTTTAATAACTATTTGAAAAACTGCTGAACATCCCGGTGTTGAGTTTAGCTCATCACAGAACTTGCATTTAAAGGGAGGTTCTCCTTCCAGTGCTGCTTGGCCAAATTTAGCCATCAGATTTTTAAATTCCTTGTCTATACGCTGCACTTGGAATCTTAATTGCTTTATCTTTTTCTTTACACAATCCATTTGGCCAGCATTTCCAAATGCATTTTTCTTCTTCCACCCTGTTGCAGTTGCAACATGGGCTATGGAACAAAGACCGACTGCTCTGACTCAGGGCATCCATTCCCACTTACTTCAAATCCTGTGCAGGCCAACTATCCCTCAGTCTCTAAATAGAAACATGCACTGTAGTGTCAATCTCTTAAACCACAGTGCTCTCCCTTTTTATTTCTTATGGCATTTGTCCAATAAGAAATAAAACGGAACTTTTTCAAAGAGATACCTATTCCTAGCTATTTTCTGTACTTGCCTATCATTTGCACAGAAGAGCAGAGAATCTTCCTACTAACACAGGAAAAGGCCAAATGCTGTCATAGTTGCCATGCACAATCTTGCAGGGCTCACCTTAGCCTAGCAACACCCATGATCTGTATGAAGAAAGCCGTAGTGGAGATTTTCAATGCTGCACAGAGCACGGGCACTCAAAATAGCAAGTGGCTGTGTGAGAAGCTGTCTGAGCCACACGTTCCACAGCCCTGCAGCTCCAGGCCCTCTCACATCCTGTCCTCTCTTACATGAGAAGCTTTGTAGCCCCGAGATTAATAACACTTGTGAGTTCAAAGGCAGTAAATGGAACTACTTCAGTTACTCAAGCCAGAATTTAACACAGATGTCCTCTGAAGTACGATCGCTGCTCAGCCACCATCTATTCCAGGATTAGAACTGACAATATTATCTGAAGCTTTGATCTTCCTTAGTTGATTTAATTTACTTCATATAAAAACACACATTTGTATATACAAGGACAGGAAAAATATTTACATATGATTACATATACAAAGTCTCAGTACAGATGCTCACTTATGCAAAATAAATGATGCTAAAATCTGTTTTCTTGAGAATTCTCAGTCTCTTAGAAATTAGGTTGGACCTGTCTTCTTAGCACCAAACATGTCATTAATAAGGCTTCTAAAACCCCTTCCATTTACTGTGTAAGAAATATGTTACATACTGGACAGGAGTATTTACTGCAGGCATATGCAACCATAAACTAGAAAAAGTTATAAATGGTTAAGGCACAATGCTCAATTTAGTACTAATTTGCAATCTTCTAGGTACTAATGAGTAAAGTAAACAAAAGTAAGCTAGCTCAAGTGAATACCATTTACTGGTAGCCTGTACTGATCTTTAAAGTTTAGTCAACACAAATGAAAACACAACCCAAGTCAAGATCCTTTCATGGGTAGAAATATTGTCCAGGAAAACCCCAGGCTGCATAATTGGATTATATGAAGTGAAATATCGGACCCTAAGATGTTGATGGTTGAATTCCTGTTCAGAAGAGCACACTGCAAGTAAATGCATACAATTATTAAAAATCCAAGTTTCAACAAACATGACTATAAATAAGCCTAGATGACCTACATTCAGGAAAGGTAGAAGAGCAGGGACTAATGTCACAGGTGTACATGAACTTCCTTAAAACTCATTGTATCAAATCTGGTGATTTCAATATGCTGCAGTGTCAATTAACTAAAATAAAAGCCACCTGCCTCAGTAATTAATGAAAGTGCATTAGGAGAACTAGACATTCTCCAACCTCTTTAGAGACATGCTGAATGTAAATAAGCAGTTAGTGGTTTCCTAAAAGACTGCCCACATACAAAAAGCATGCACATGAACTCTGAGAACCACAAGGACTCAAGCTAAAAACTACAATATAAGAGCAAAAAATGAGTTAAAAGGCGAATATATGGTTAAATGCTCAATATTGGATGCTACTGGTACATGTAGGCTTTCATATACCATCAGCATGACAGCAAAAGTAGAAATATTTCATAGGTCAAAGACTAATAAAAGAAGCTCCCATGTACAGCACTGAGGGAAGACGAGACTTAAGAAAAGAGATGGAACACATGGAACAAAAGTACAGCTGAGATTCCAACATGAAAACACAAAACAAGAAATTCATGTACTGAGAGCGATCTTCCTCCGTCGCAGTGGGTAGCGCCTTCTCTCGGGGGAATCTGCAGCTTTTCTTTTTTTCAGCAAAACATAAGGACTTTTACTGCAAACAGTTCCTGTTGGTGTGACTTCTCCTGGTGGTATTAAAGTTTGGACATCGTTTTCCTCCTTCGCCTTGCAACCAGAAAAGACTTCTTGCCGCAGCTTGCAGAGTTCCAAGGTTGGTTGCAAAGTTAATGCTTGGGAAAAACCTTCTGCTTTTTCTATGAGTGCTGGAATAGACTGCAAAAACAAACCCAAGTATCTCAAGTTATATGGGAAAAGCAATGGCT